TCTCTCTCTCTCTCTATACTCCTACTTGTGCCATCCCCACCCCCTCCCCCACTCACACACACACACACACACCACAGTAAACATTGTCATATAATATTAAAGAGCTAAAATATGCGGTAGCGTCAAGAAACAATATTATGAATAATGTAAGATGGAAGTTACTGAGATTAATAGAAACTCACTTGATCGGCGCAGAAAAAGAAACACTACTTGAGTGCTAGAAAACAAACTGAAAGTGAGAGGCAATAAACTGCTGGTCCTGGCCTCCAGCACTTAACTCATACTTTCTACACCCCCACACAAAATATCGACGTGCACTGGACCCGTTAAATACATGTAATAAGAACTGTCCTGTATGATGACAAAAAGTCAATTATTGCTACTGTACCAGTGACGCTGTCCCAAGCAGATCAAGTCTACAATCAGATGCTATACAAAGCTGGATAAAGTTAGCACACAAGTTTCCGATCATTATATCACCAAATGTACCTCATCGCACTTCTCAGTTCTCAGAATTGAATACTGAACACTGTGTTGTAACAAAGTGGGGAAGTGTGTTAAATGCTAATTATAGAACTTGGTGTCTAGTTGGGGTGAGGGTTGAAAAGAGGAAGGAAGGGAAGGGGTTTTCGGGCCAGACTCTAACAGCCGAGTGCCTGTCGCTCCTCGTTAAAATTCTCCTTATATATCTCCACTAGACGATTCCTTCTTTCGCCGCCCAGACTCCTAAGGGCCAGGTAAATTATTAGTGGGAAGAAAACGATGAGTAAATGCAAAACAGGAACCATAGGTGGTTAAAAAGTCAATAAACAAAAAGGATTAGTGCCATGCTGACAATAAATGTTCTGATAGTAGTTATAGAAAGCCTGAATGATAAATACATGTTTTGCTGATAAAATAATACATGTGTCTGTGCTGCTCAAGAGTCTCATTCTTAATTTTGTAAGCTACTAAGAGGCCAATCTGGCAATTAAGGGATGTCCTATTCGCAATTTGAGGGCTGACGATTTATTTGTCCATGGGACTGACGTCATCGCTAGGCCTAAGCCAAGCCACCCGTGTGTTTGGCCTCGTACGTAGTACGAAGTTCCGCGACAAGACGGCTTGACGGGAGACGATTTAAAGTTACGAGCCGGCGCGATAACAAACGTGAAGAAATGAGGTTATGTCGCGACAAAACAACAGTGAATCCCACTTGTCTATTTGAGCGCCTTCAAATCGGCAAGGTGTTTTTGAATGTTGATACATGTTTGTTTGGATTTACTTAAAACTGAATGAAAATCGTCATCAGCAATAAACCTCTAGTCAACAGTTCAGCTGACAAAAATCTGACCGGCACCGCCGGGCTTGCCCAGTCAACAAACCGCCCCTGAAAGAGGATTGTTACAAAATCCATGTGAAGAAGTGTTTTGGTCTGTATAATTGTTAATGGTGGCCATACAATTTACTCAGAGAGAGAGAGAGAGAGAGAGAGAGAGAGAGAGAGAGAGAGAGAGAGAGAGAGAGAGAGAGAGAGAGAGAGAGAGAAAGAGAGAGAGAGAGAGATCTTTATTGAATTTCGATTTGAGTTTATCTACAAATTTGTCTGGAGGGGTACTTCGAAAGAAGGACGACAATGTAACGAAATCAGTTGAAGTGTGTGATCAAAATAGTTCACATTTTTAAAAAGTTTCTAAACTTTAAGAAACCCATTTTTAAAAATCTATCTTCATCGGATACAAACGTGGACCGATTCTGCGAACGATGTGTTGCGTTTTTAATTGCATTCAGTGTATATATATATATATATATATATATATATATATATATATATATATATATATATATATATATATATATATATATATATATATACAGTAGAGTCCACGAATCTCGAACACGAAAATCACGAATTGTCGTGTATCTGTAACATAAAGCTCAGTCCCGTTTCAGTCCCTCTGTTTTCTTTGAACTGACTTCACGGAGTTCCCAAACTCTCGAAACACGCAACACTCGAATCTCGAACAAATCAACTTCGCATCTTAAACTAAAGACCCGGCTTTACAGCCTTTCAGGCCGCGGGTAGGTATTTCTTCGTTATTGTTACAGCCAAAACGTGGTCCTTGTCTCACCACAAGAGGCTGGAGGAAGGGGGGACGGGGAAGGGGGGTTGGGATGGGATGCTGACCGCTCCGCATGACTGGCTCTCCACGAGTGCAATCATGCTGTGGGATGCTCGCGGTGCGGATGGTAAGAGGTGTAAATTTCTGTAAACCAATGAAATGAGAGGAAAGGAATGACGTAGGAGTCGGCTGTGCACTCGTGAGATTTTTTGCTTTCCACTTTAATTTTCAACTTTCCTGCTTTCACACTGTCAGCACGTTCATCAAGGGAGCTAACCACGTTAACTGCTTTAATGTTCTTTATTAACTCCCTGGATATTTCTTTGTATTTGGGGCTTTCACTTACATTACGGATTACGTAAATCTCGAAGACTATTTACCTATCCCTGACGAATTCGAGTTACCCGTTTTTTTTACTTTAATTATATATATATATATATACAAGCTGGGCCCCCTTTCGTTGAAAGGAATGATCGGTGCATTAACATCAACTGAAAGTCATTGGCCTACTGTATTAAAATTGACACTCTAGGAACTATTGGAATGGAGCAATAAATCTTGAAAGATGCAAAAAGATAGAAAGTGTAGATCTATACTCTCAAAACAAAATGCTCCTCGCGACAGTATCGAACGGAAGTACGACATAAAATATACAAACCTGGTGGATTTTCTAAAATTACAGAGACAGAAGCGTCGACCTACAAAAGCGATCAGTGAAATAAAGAAATTTAGCTTTTTGCAGCAAAACTGTTTCATAACTGAAAAAACGAAGGGCGTCATGATCTGGAGAATATTTTAAAGAATCTTTTGGCGAAAACCGAATGTCGATCGATTCAGCCATTAAAAAGCCTTTTGAATAGCAAAATTCGACCACCACAAATAGATAATAGATATAGATATGTATGTATATATATATATATATATATATATATATATATATATATATTAGTTATCAGAGAACGCCGACTTTCTAGCTTGACCATTTGTCAGCTTTGAAGTTCATTGCATTCGTAGAGAGGGGAAAGAGAAGGAGGGATGAGAGAGAGAGAGAGAGAGAGAGAGAGAGAGAGAGAGAGAGAGAGAGAGAGAGAGAGAGAGAGAGAGACAGAGAGAGAGAGAGAGAGACAGAGACAGAGAGAGAGACAGAGACAGAGACAGAGACAGAGACAGACACAGAGACACAGACACAGAGACCCAGACACAGGCACAGACACAGACACAGACACAGACGCAGACACAGACAGACAGACAGACAGACAGACAGACAGACAGACACTCAGACACACAGGTGCACACAGACTGGGAGAGGTAGAGTAAAGAGACGTTTCTTTCGTACCAGCCAGAAAATGGAGCGTGGAAAAGTTAATACAAATCTGTTGTCTTAGCTTTTGTGTTGAAAAACTATAAGAAGCTTATAGCAAGGGTAATTTTTAACTGGCCAGATATCAAATCGTGGGTGGTTGACGGGCGCTCTAGTCTGGTCTGTTCTTTCTTTCCTATCAAACATGTAAAAAAACTAAAACTAAGATCAAATCTGCTTTAAAATTTTTAAAAAATCAAATCAGTGTTAGCAGCTGTGGTACGTAGATTTCAAATAAACTATGTACAGAGTCAAGATTCTTAAACATTTAATTATATTCATTTTATAACGACGTTCAGGGAACTAATAATCCAGAGGCTCACACATATCAGTAGTTGGACCAGCTGTAGAAGTCGTTGGCTTTGCTGTAGTGGTAGTAGTAGTGGTAGACTTTATCGTTGTAGGCTTTTCTGTAGTAGTGGTAGGAGTAGTAGTATTCGATTCGGGATTGAAGACTGAAGAATGAAAAAAGAATAATATGATCCTCTATCGACCACTGACCTTCACTGTGATACCATATAGATCCCCCCAACACACACACACACACACACACACACACACACACACACACACAGATACACACACACACACACACACACACACACACACACACACACACACACTGACATCCATCTTTCTATTCATTTACAAGCGTTACAGCTGGTATAACAGATAGTGTTGTTTATTAAATCAACGACGTTTCCTGCACAAATAACTCGCCTTCATTTTTTTTTGTTGCACCATCATAAAAATGGGAAGGGGCTGTAAAACTCCCATGATCACAGATTGACCTCTCACCATGTATGCACCAATAGGCTTTTTTGTTTTGTGCTTTAATTTATATATATTTTTTTTATAGGGGGGATTGTTTGCGCGCGCGCGCGCGTGTGTGTGTGTGTGTGCGTGTGTGTGTGTGTGTGTGTGTGTGTGTGTGTGTGTGCGTGCGTGTGTGTGTGTGTGTGTGTGTGTGTGTGTGTGTGTGTGTATGTGTGTGTGTGTGTGTGTGTGCGGTTTTGTATAACACTTAAATTATATACCGTATTCTATTTTGTTATACAACGCTACAATCAGAAATCATTATATCTCGAAACTGATGTGAATTTTAAAAAAGGCGTTTAGTTAGCTTATGGCAGGTTTACTGGCTTACCTGTAAGAGACACCTGGCAGATATAGCGCATGGTTGCCCAGCAGACGATGTCGTTCCAATTACCGGAAGAGACCAAGTGTCCACATTCTTCATAACCACCCCAGTCATTTGGCTCATCTGGAAGTAACAGGAGACACACAAAAAACCCTCAACTTTCTTAAATATTGTGTCAGGATGCGGTGGAATCAGAAGCTTGTCAATTTGTGAGTTCATGGAGTTACTGGTGTTATCTTAAAGCTTTTTTCTTTGTCCTGCTTTTAATGAAAAATACTCTTCAATCGAGAATAGATGTCGAGATATGTGCTGTTGAAGGAGGTGGGGTTGCCAAGTGTCAGGAGTAAAATGAGCGAGAAAATGGTCGCCAAATTGTGGTGACTGCCAAAGCTTGAGTGTCATCGGAAAGAACAAAACATTCTTTTGTCCCTTTGATCAACATGTTCAAGTAAAATCCACAAATAAATGTGTTTTAAATGGACATAAAAAGTGTTGAATAAAAAAAGAATGTTAAGCAAAACTGAAATTTATTGACAAAGATTGCCCAACACGCAGGAAAAAAGCCGGTTTGTTCATTTTATTATCTTGACGAGTACCTGATTTCACCACGATACAACACATATTATGCTCTACCGTAATAGCGACTATTGTGGTAAGTTTTTTTCTTTTCTTCTTCAGCTCACTTTGGGATTTAGCTAAAATTTCTCGACTTCAGATTCACCCCCGTGAAAATATACACCCAACAAGAAATATTCTTTAAGAAAGTTTACTTTCTCCTCCTTCCTTCTTCTCCCCCTCTCTCTTTCACTTTCTACTATTTCTTACTAAACTAAAACGTACTTGAGTTCCAAGTACTCCAACCAAGAAGAGGTGTTCCATCAGCCCACACGAAGATTCCTTCTTCGGAAAGATCATCCAGCCCAATCCAGGCGTAGTGAGAGGAATTTCTGAAACAAACAGAGAATTTTATTGCTCCCTAATTCCGTTCTCGGCTTCCCTCCAACAGTTGAAAGGTTGTATGAATACGATCTTTGGGTCTATCACTTATTAGCACAGATCAGAATAGAATGGCGAGAGAAACGAAAGGTTACAGTTTATAATTGTGGAGGACTTGAAATAAAGTAGATGCACTGAAAGGAAACCCCGAGTTGAAAAACCGCCAAGAGGAAAACCGGAAAGAAGGTGGCAAAATGACATCAGAGAGCGGACGGGAACACCCTGAACTCGTATAACAGCAGACAGAACAGCGTGGGGGTCGTTGTGGAAGGCTACATCCTGCAATGGACGGAATACGCCTAGAAATGAAAAGGTAAATGTGAACGTGTCCCTATTGTCATCTTTCGTTAAGCGACTTTTGATGGGGATGTAGATTCTATACATCACTTGTTTCTCTCTCGTTTGCATGAATTTATAATTTTGAGATGTCAAATCAGTCATAATTTTTTGCTATGATACCTTAGTCAGTATTATTTTAAGGGCAAAACCCTTGTCCCTTTCATTACTCTAACGTACACTAAGAATTAACAGTAAGCATAACTTGATCAAAAATATTTCTTAAGCTCTTGTGACACTGAAGTCCGGTAAAAAAATTCATGGCACAACTTATCCTCAAATTTCTCTTTAACACGAGAATCAATGTCATCCATACTTTGCACAGCAGTTTTTATCAATTTGCCAGAACTTAGTATTCTTCGACAACAATTCAGACTGGCTTAAAAAAAACTTCTTAATAAATGTATTAAAAATATTATAAATCTCCGTCATGCAGAAAATAGAATTGTTCTCAGCACTTCCCGCTTCTCACACACATTTGGCATACGCATAATGGCCTATGTCACAGCTCACAAATGACACTGGAAAAACCTTTCTCGAGAAATTAATTTTATAGTGAACACATTTTTCCACTAAAGGTTCTCAAAACATGAGTTTAAGAGTTTAAGTTCAATAAGCATAACGTCACGATTAGAAAAAAAAATGACGGACTTGCTTTTAAAAGCGATATTGCCCCACCCACTTGGATTTTTTATTAGTATTTATTAAGGAATTTTCCAGAATACGGCTAACAGGCATTTACAAAAATATTGATCTGTTAGGACAAATTGATGCAAGTCATCGTGCAAAAGCTGGAGAGTGTAGGTGTGGTAGTTGAGGAAATATTTGATATTAAGCTGCGCCACGAATTTTTGACCGCACTGTAATTAGTGAACACACCTGATACTGTAAAGTTTTTAAAGATTACGCTTTGGGGAACTTTATTTGGTCCTATGTTTCTCACCTAGCTTCCAGGACCAACGCCTGCTCTGTCTCTGTAGTAGGCATTGCTAGGGTGCCTTGCTTCTCCTGACACTTAGTTTGGGCAGTTTCATAGTTGACCTGCTCATCAAAGTAGCCATAGCATGAGCTGGTGGATTTCGAGTAGACCCAGCCGTCAGGGCAGCCTGGTCTCGACAGAACCAAGCAAGTCTTACATATTATAAAATTAATAGAAATCATCGTATGTAAGGAAATACAAGTCATAAAGTCTCCGGTGAGCAATCCAGACAGACAGACAGACAGACAGACAGACAGACAGACAGACAGGCAGGCAGGCAGGCAGGCAGGCAGGCAGGCAGGCAGGCAGGCAGGCAGGCAGGCAGGCAGGCAGGCAGGCAGGCAGGATACCACATTACAACATTAATATTCACAAACATTCAACTTAAGATATCATTTGCGATGAATATGAAAGTGGTGGGTAAGTGTATTTATTTTAGTTTATTTTTGTGAGGGCTTTTGGCACTTGCGATACAAATGGGGAACATATGAGTCGAAGATTAGAGCAGATGTTACAAGAGATTAATACACAGCAACAACAACAACAACAACAACAACAACAAATATATGAGGGCAGATAAGAACGA